GAAAGTAAAATTAATGAAAAGGGTTTGAAAATTTTGAGTTTTAACAATAAGGATAAAATAAAGGATAAAGTGAATAGTACCATGATTGACTTTTTAGTATAAAAATGTAGTTTTTCGTTAAAGTGGACAGTACCGCAGGTTTTTCGATAAAACTCTTATATTTTGATTTTTCAATATGATCTAATTGTTAAGACAATTGAAAACGGGAACGACAACTCCAAACGTCACACATCCGTCGCCTACCGTGAATTGCTGTGGTCATTAGTGTTTTCTTCTTTAACATAGTAACATACTGCATATGGTCCGCAAAACTTATCCATGTCCCTCTTAATATAAATTAATGTAAAACATCGGTTTTACTGGGAAAAAAAAATGTAGGCATAACTTTTGACAAATCCGTATCCACAAAAATAAATAATGGTTGAGGAAGAGCATGCATGGTTTTGGTCGGCCACTGAGGAACACGAATGCAGTGATAAATCTTTGTCATTCAAATGAAATCAAATAGTAGCGAACTTAAAAAATTAATTTGGTCGATCAATCTTTATAATCTTTAAAAAATTAAAAAAATTAATTTGCGCGATCAATCTTTATCAGCTAACTTTCTGAAGTTTGGTAATTTCCATGGATAATTTGGTACTGTCTTTTTGAACGTTAGAGTTGTTCTTTATATATGCTTTTCAAATGCTTCATAAAATGCCTTAAAGAGGAGTTACATTTCTTATTGTTTTTAAAAACAAATATCAACTTGGGCGTTATATTCTTTATATGTATTCAAGTATGAATTTTCTCAATTCAAAAGAATTAGCATTCTTGCAAAGAAAAAAATGGCAGAGTGGGGAGGAACATAGTATATAATCATGTGTATTCTCTAATTATATTAGTTTTGATTCTATCAGTTGCTACTGCTTCAGTAGAGAGAGTTGTTTCTACCATGAATATTATGAAAAGCCCATTGCGTAACCAAATGGCAGATAAATGGGTAGGTGATATCATGATGGTTTATATAGAGAGTATGTTTTTTTCTTTCATTGAATAATGAAGCTATAATGGAGCGTTTTCAAAATATGAAAATACGTCCTAAATAATTGTAACTTGTATTGTTATTTGTCCTATAAATTATGAGTGATGAAATTATGTCTTAATTTAAGGTTATAATATGTCTAAAAAATGTTTGTGAATGTCTAAGAAATGTTTGTGAATTTTACACGTAAATGCCCAAATAATTTTTTCTGGATCCATCACTACTTTGAGTTAGACATACCCAAATTAAGTGGGTTATCCTCAGATTTTTTTTACCTTTCACATACTCTTCTTAACTTTCAACTGCCGTATTGAGTAAATCGACGATGAATTACAATATTTTAAAGAATCCCTACAAGAGCGAAGGTGAGCAATCTCGTTTTCTAATTCAAAAAGTCCGTTCCCTTTTGTTGCTACCGTGAAATATCGTCTCAACATTTACTATTCATTTTTTCGTATTTTGGGTTTCGAATTTTATTTGGTTTCCTTTATATTTAATTATCTCGGTTTTTGTTCAAAAAAATAAAAAAATAATCTTGGGGTGTATTCAATTGAGATTTTGAGAGATTTTAATTCTTTTAATGACTTTAGGGGTATTCAATCAAGATTTTCAGTGATTATCTAAAATTCAAGGTATATTCAATTAGAAATTCAAAATAGTTTATTAAAATTCTTAGAAATCCAGGTTTATTCAATTAGGATTTTAAAGAAGTTTATAACATTTCAAGTGTATTCAATTAGAAATTGATTTTAAAAAATCTGAGAAAGTTGAGGAATTAGAGGCAATTGGAGAGATTTCGTATTGTATTTTAAGTATCCATAAATCTCATATCTTTCCATGAGATTTCAAGAGAATTGAATCAAAATTTTATAAATATCTATAAATCAATTAAATTCCATAAAAATCCATAAATTTATTAAATTCTCTCAAATTCTTGATTGAATACATCCCATCCGGTTTTGAAAAAATTTAATGTAGGGCAGTTTGGTAATTTTGAATTTCAAATGCTAATTCGGATCTAAATTTGAACTTGGCAAAGTAACCTTGAATTCATGAACCGCGTTGTCGTGGGCCGCCGCCACCATCTTAAAGTCCACAATCCGGACATAAAACCAATATCCTTGGCTGTCAAACATTTGGTGAATTTTAGAGAGCCCGTGATAAAATTGGCCACTCGCGGAGTTTTTGGCGATAATCTCACATACAATTAAGAAATGAAAGTTGCATCTCTTATCGTGATCTATTGGATTACGAAATTTGTTTCAGCATTTATTGTGTTTCGAAAATCAAATTTTTTGTCACCGAATCATTTTGATTGCCGTCGTGTGCATCGATGCGTTGGTTCACGACATTGGCTTGTTTCAACGACTTAGTATTAAGACGGTTTTGCAAAATATGATTGTTGGGTTGAAAAATCATAATCGAGCACCGAACGATTTTGTTAGAAGTGACAATCCGATCATTGCATCCTCATGTAATTGAAATGAAATTTTATTACTTATAACAATTGGGTGTGATCCACAACAATCCACAACAACTTGCATTTGGTGAATTCGTCTTGGATCCAATCTTCTTTTTCAAAAAACGCTAACTGCATTTATTTCTAAATATATAAAGTTTGGAGTGTAGAATGAGAAATTTAGAGTGTTAATACCAATTTCCTTTCAAAATACCTCTGTTTTTCTGGCCAGATTGTTTGTTTTCTCCCCGTCGAGTTTATTTTATATTTTAGGTTAACAAATAGGGTAAATTATACAAAATTATCTCAATTATTGGGTCAGTCACAGTTTCATACCCCATCTTTAAAAAATGTCAATGTCATATCTCATCTACGAAGTTAAATTATTTAGTACTCATTAGTTTTAAAAACGAAAAATTTAATACAATAAGGATAGCAAGGAATCTTAAATTTTCTCACTCACCAATCATTTTTGAGTTTTGTGTGTGAATATGTCGTCACTCAAAGTATGCTTCTTGACGCAATAGTGGTGTATTGAGTCTTTGTGCCTACTATAATTATCTAGATGATGTTGATGTACCCATATTTTTATATGGTCCTTATAACTAGTAACTAGTGGGAGTGCTCGTTTATCGCCGAATTATAAACACAAATTTCTTTTTCATAAACAGTTTGGCCCATTAGAATTACATTTTAAATTTTGAACGACATTAGGAAGAACAAACATAAATTACGATCAAAGTAAATGTTCCTAACCAATTGAGTTGTAAACTTTTTGCTTGGTAAACAAATACACTGTTTTTTTTTTTTTTAAAGAACATAGAGGTGCTATTTAGTGTGCTAACTTAGGACTAGTTTAAGAATTAAGATTGCTTAAATTTTTTAAAAAGCATTTTTTTTTTAAGTTGGGGCCTTAATTGTGTTCGGTAAATGAAGAAAAAAAAAATTTCAAAATCATGGGTTCAAAACAGCAGAAAGCATAAACAGCTCTACACATGCTTCTCAAAAAAAAAATTTTTCATTGTAGACAAGTGAATAATACCAATTAATGAAACTTTTAAATCCACAATACCATCTTCTTCTTTTATTACTATGATTTTTTTATGTTAAAGGCACTTTTAACATTATAATTGATCAAACACTTACATGCTTTTTATCATAACCGTTCATTCTCATAACGCAGCAGAAACAATTTCGAAAAAAAAGTACCAACCCAAACTAGCCCTCACACGACATGAGTATTTCACAACGTAACACTTTGTGCTAATAAAATAAATACACGTAAAAATAAAATAAAAACACGTGACTACAATTTATAGATATCTTCATTTGATTAATACAGAACGTTATCTCGGAAGATAAACCCTGGAAAGCGTGACCATTACAAAGCGCGTGGGGTGGGGGCATCCAAATTCGGATTTACTTGGCACCGTAAGCAAATCATTTACTTTTTTGGTCGGAAGCCAAATCTTATTTAAACTCCTATTTCCACATTTCGTTACACAATTTAAGCACATCACAAAACCACCGTCATCACCTTCACTTGTCTCTGTTCCTCTCTGCCTCTCTCGCTCTCTGTCGCATCAGACGCCATTAAACCTACCAGATCTTCAATACCCAGGAGTTAAATTTTGAAATTATCTTTCCATGGTGAGAGAAATGAGGGAGGAAATGCCGTACGGAATCGAAGAAGGTGGGAGGGAGGAAGAAGGTGGGTTCCCTAATACCAGTCATAAGAGATTGGTGGTGGTGGGATACGCTCTTACCTCTAAGAAGATTAAGAGCTTTTTGCAGCCAAAGCTCGAAGTTTTAGCTAGGTAATTAATATCTGTTTGTGGACATTAATCACAATTTGATAATCTGAAATACCCTTCTGTTTATGTTTTCTGATGTGCCCATGAGGATTGATTTGCGGACTGAATTTGTTGTGACGTGGGGTTTTTCCGATCTGGAATATCCCAGTCCCTACTGTCATTTTTGTTTGGCTGGCGAGAAAGTGAAAGAAAGTTGCGGAATCTTCTTTCTAACCATCAATTATTTCTCAACCAAGTCCTGAGATTTTTTATTTTTTATTCTTTAGGAGTTAAAGGCACACAAAAGTTGTGTGCTTTTAAGTCATTTTCCAATGACCCATTTATTAAAAATGCAATCACGTTTGTAATCTGGGTTTAATCCAAAATATAAAATTGTAAATATGTTTTTATGACTATGCTAATCTGTGTTCATATGCATTTGCCAGAATTTGAATTTCTAACAAGTTTCAAAATCTATGACTATGCTTTGTGTCACTTGGATGTGTACCAAGATTAGTGGTTGAATGTTAAATTTTCTTTTTCAATACTATTCAATTAGTGTGGATTTTTTTCCTTCTCTTAATTTCCTAGTGATGAATAGCTTTGATTCGGAGTTTCCGTGTTGGTTTTATGTCTCTGCTCTTTCAAGTAATGGTGATGTTGTCATGCAGTTTTTACTCAGGTGTTTCCTTACCAAGTGTAAAATGTTGTTTGTTTAATGCAGAAAAAAGGGGATATTGTTTGTTGCTATTGATCATAACAAGCCCCTTTCGGATCAAGGCCCTTTTGACATAGTGCTGCATAAGGTTAGGAAATTTCCTTTAAACAGTTGCTTATCTTGTTTGGTTCCAACCCGTACAAGGTGGGATTTGGTAAAAGTCTTCTTCCCACTGTATTTATTTCACCATACATACCCACTATTGATTTTGGTCTGATAAATGTAGATGGTCAAGAGTAACTCAATACATTTTTATCGTTTCTCTCTTGCAGCTGTCTGGAAAAGAGTGGCGCCAGATTCTTGAGGTTGGTTTCTGTAAATTTCATCATTTTATAGCCTTAAGAACTTATATTCTGGACTGAGTTGTCTTGAAACCACACTTGCTGCTTAAATTCATTATCCTCATCTTGTGCATGACATCATTTATACATTGCACGGGATCAAATAATCACCGACTGGTTGGTTGGCAACCAGAATGTTCATGCTTAGAACTTATTCCTGTCTGACGACACGTGCAGAGTGCTTCTCTTTCCTTCGTCATGAATTATGACTGTAGTTGAGGTCGAGGCCTCAAGCCAGCAAGTGATGATGTTTCTACTTCCATGGCCATCTAGCTGAGTTTTTCAGGTTTTCTAAGCAATTTTCTTGTGGAAGATTCGTGATTCTCTTCAATGGGTTCATGTTTTCAGGGTATAACTTACCCTCACTGTCAGCTGAATGGGAGTTAGCGAACTTGATGTGATGTGAGTGAATTTAGATTTGGTACACCTGCTTTTGAGTGTCTAGGGCGCTATAAGTTCTAGGATAAGGTGTGCAAAACACCCTTCTTCAAAATCCTCTTTCAGACGCTGGTTGTGATGGCTGGTCCAACATTTGGGTGCATTTAGATTGCTGGCCATCGATTATACACTGGTAGGATTACAGCTGCAAACTTTCCTATATTGGCTGGATTGACGTTTTATTTTATAATTTGTAGTTGCTTGTGCCTATGGGAGAGTGTTAAGTAGTAGATTAAACAACGCAGTATGTTTGGTAATTGATTAAAATCTTGAACGACCTCAGCATGAACCATATACAAATTATATCGTGATTTCTGTTATTTTCTTTCCTTCTGTAGCATGTAAACTACTTCTTTATTGTCTAGAAAAAATCCCTGACATTTAAAGGTCATGTGGAATGATGATTATGCAACTAACACTTTGGACTAATCAGAAATATTATTATTTTGGTGGGCTCGATCATAGTCATTGTGATTGCGGGTAATGTGTCCGAAAGCATGGTTATGTTTTCTGGACAAATGTTGTGAGTGTCACTCAATAACTACCTTTTGTTGTTTCTACTGGTGGTTTTCACTTATCAGATTTCCAGTCAGCAATCGATGATCTATGTTGTGTACAATTGACCCATTGTCAGCAGCCTGTATTAGGCTTATAGTTTTATGAAACTTCAGTTAGCATGTAATTAACATTGTAAATCTTGTCATGCAGTACTTTAGTTCTTTCTCTATGTATCTTGGAAATTGTTTGATTTTCTATCAGTATAATGAATTCTAATCTTCAGATCCAAAACACTGAGTTTAATAGGAAGTGAATATTAACATGTCCATTGTGTCCCAAATAGGATTCTTTGGTTCTAAGACCTGTAATCAGTTACAGTAAACACAATTTATTCAATCTGATATAAGATCAATTACTTTTTTTCTCTGCTTATGCCTGCTAGTATTTCAAAACCTTAATGAGGACATACTGTGTTCATCTTCCGTTACTTTAGGTTTGTACTACAACTTTAATAAGTTATTAAAAGGGTTTAAGAAGGAATATTTTACGTCTGCCAAAAGGTGGAAATTCTGGTGAAAGTTGATTGATCATTGTTTCTGTGTTAGACTACTCTATTTGACTATTTTCTTAGTTATACATCTTTGTGATCAGTAACAATGATTTTTGTTCAGTTTTTCTTTGTGCTGAATAACTAGGGAAGGGGGTGCATATATATATCCACATTCAAGTTGTTTTCTGGAACAATGGTTGCACAATCCAATGCTGTTTTAAACGGACATTCAAGTCCTTGTCAAATTTTTAGACCAGAACGACTCTCGTCCCCCTCGTCATTTTTTGTCCATGCACTGCACTGTCGTTGTATGCAAAAGACTCAAGTATTTATACAGAACACTGTATTTTGTTTGCTTTCTTCTCCACTTATGTTCTATGTATGATTCATCATGGCCTAAGTTCATTTTTGTCTTTGTAGACATATGATATGGACTGGAATTATATGTTTGCTTTAAAGGTGATAGATAACATCTTTTGCACAGTCCAGTTTTTTTTGTTTGTTTGTTTGTTCGTTTGTTTGAGGGGTACTGTTACTGGAATTTGGTTCGATTGCTTTACTCTTTTAAATCATTATTGTTTTGTATTATTTGTTATGTACTCTGTAGAATTTGGGTTATACTCCCTTGACAACCCTTTTTCTTCCTTTTATAGGACTATAGGCAAACACACCCAGAAGTCACCGTTCTTGATCCTCCTGATGCCATACAACGTTTACACAATCGTCAATCCATGCTCCAGGCTGTTGCCGATTTGAACTTGTCTGATTCTTATGGTAACTTCTGTGCCTTTTGTTCAAATGTTGGATTACCTAAGATTAGTATTTTGCTTGAACTTTGGCTCACATGTTTTAGGCTGAGAGTCCGGTTAAATTATAAGCGTGGCAACTGAAATTTTGTCCTTGGTGATGCTAAAAGTAGTTGTATTGATGAATTCGTGCAGGCAAAGTTGGGGTTCCCAAACAGTTGGTTGTTAAAAAAGATGCATCATCCATCCCTGATGCTGTTACAAATTTTGGGCTGAAACTACCCATTGGTATGCTTAATGTATCGTAGTAACTAGTTATAGTAAACTATCAGGACCATATGCTTACCTGTTGGTGTTATGTTACTTAAGTATTTTCTGTTAGGAGACATAAGTTCCATATCTGTAATTTTTTCTGGCCGGTCTTTTTTGATAAATGTACTGATTTTATGTTTCAGTTGCGAAGCCACTGGTCAATGATGGAAGTAAAAAGTCACATGAATTATCACTTGCTTACGATCGGTACTCTCTCCAAAAGCTTGACCCTCCTCTTGTTCTTCAGGAGTTTGTAAACCATGGTATGCAACTAAGATCCGTATAGTTTCTTATCATTATGTCCTGAATAGCACCACACGCATATACTAATTATTGAACTTTCACTTCTTTCCTGGTTATAGGAGGTGTTCTTTTTAAAGTCTATATAGTTGGTGAAGCTATAAAAGTTGTCAGGCGTTTCTCTTTACCGGATGTTACCAAACGAGAGCTCTCCAAAACGGCTGGAGTATATCGTTTTCCAAGGGTTTCTTGTGCTGCAGCATCAGCAGAAGATGCAGATCTGGACCCATGCATTGCTGGTGAGTTTTCCTGTCCAGGAATTCAGGTTCTTCGATTGCATGTTTACAAGTTTTGCATTTACTGGCTTTCAAACATAAAGTTTGTGTTTTTTTGGATGGATTTTGGACTCTTGAATATAATTTGGCATTGGTTAAAAAAACACAAATTAAATTGGCTGGTCGTTGGTATTTGAAATTGAAGGAGTTGAGCCGGCAACTGAGGAATGAACACTGAAATTCAACAATTTGTCTTTTATCTTTTTTGTTAGGCTCCAATTACTATAGCAGTGGTTTTGAAATTTCTATCTTGGCTGTGAAGTTTAAATGCAGGCCTCTCTAATACGTGTAATTACTATTTTTCTTGCAGAACTTCCTCCGCGACCATTACTTGAGAAACTTGCCAAGGAACTTCGCCGTCGACTGGTAACTCACACTTGTCAATGGTTTTATGCCATGGCCAGGTTGATGCATGGAAGTTGGAATTAATGAGTTTGTCCTGTCATTATATAGGGTCTGCGATTGTTCAACTTGGATATGATCCGAGAGCATGGGACCAGTGATCGGTTTTATGTCATTGACATTAACTACTTCCCAGGCAAGTGAATTATCTTTCTCAGTTATCATTTGACGGCTGACTGAGTTCAGCGTATTATTTACAACAGTATGTTGATTTTACCGATCGCACAAACAGAAGTCATTTGTATGGTTATTTAACTGGCCTTGAATTTTTTTGCAGGGTATGGAAAAATGCCGGAATATGAGCACATATTCACGGACTTCCTCTTAAGCCTGGTGAAGGGGAAGCACAAAAAGAGATCTGGCTGAAAACTTTTCCATCGACTCTGCTTCAAGGTGACAGTCTTAACGCAGATAGCAGAGCACCTCAATAAGATTCTGCAGGGCAAGGTTCCGTCCCACGTACAGTGACTGGTGTGGATCCCTGCCGATGGCTGATGGAGGATGGTTGTCCGTACATTCAAGCTGCTAACGGGAGATGTTCAGCCTGGAATAATGCTTCATGTACAGAGTTCTCATAAATCTAACGGCTCTGTTTGTTGGTCGTTTTCTTCCTACTCGCTTGCGATGTTGGCAGGTAACGTAAGCAGCTGCTGATTACACAATCACATAATTTGTCGGGCTTTTTATGTAGGACGGGCATATGTCCCTGCGATGTATCAGTTTAATTTCGGATTTAATCTGCATTTTCATTTTTGAAGCTAATAGAGATCGAAAAGATGCAAATCTAGTATCTTTTCGTTGCTTTAACTGATCCCTTATCTATTTCTTGAAAGTTTTGGCATGGTTGAGGCATGCCTTACGATGCACCATCGTTTCCATTAACGTAAACGAACTTTTAGAACACGAAAACCGCGGTGATTCGAGGGCTCGATTGTTTCTGTCGGTATCATCCGGGTTCCGGTTGCGCCTTATTATAGTCTGGTGATCAAATTGTGATCATGTTAGATTGTGTGTTGGTTTCACGCCAACAATCAAAGGGCTGGTTTGGTATTGCTCTGCTTTAAAAAAAAAAAATTGTTTCTTCTGTGCTGTGAGAATAAGTAGTTATGAAATAAAGCAGCAGAGTGTTTGATAAACTTTTTTGTAAAAGTGTTTTTGAAAAAAAAAAAAAAAAAAGCAGACTTTTTTGTAAAAGTGTTTTTGAAAAAAAAAAAAAAAAAAGCAGTAGTATTATAGTGTTTGATAAACTTTTATGTAAAACAGATGTGAACAAAACTGATTTTTCAAAGTTGGGTTATGCAGCTTTGTGTTTTTGGTTTTTTTTTTTCACCTAAAACTGTGAAAAAAAGTTGAATTTGAATGTTTACCAAACATAAAAAAAAGGCCCAACTTTTTTTGGTAGTCATTTTTTTTCAGAATCAACTCAGTACCAAATTAAAACAAAATCTACGTATCTCTATGCCTTGCGTCCATATCAAGAAATGAAAATCGTGTTAAGATTTTCAAGACTAACCAAAATTCTGTTGAATTTAGTAGATTGTGCTGATTTCGAGTTCGTATCAAGCAACTCGGACCCCCTGTTTGTATTAAATTCGTGTTTTATTATCGTGTCATCCTGAATTATCGTTATTTTATGGTACGTTTGAACGGTGAAAATAAACTTTTAATTTTGACAAAAGTTAAGATTCTCTGAAAGCTAATTCGCTTGTTTGGATTACCAAGCAATGCAGATGGAGACTTGAGAGTTTTAAAATTATAAATCTGAAGTTTAAATTTCAGCATTTAAAATATCGGTATTAGTAAAAATGTTGATATGTAATTTTGGGTAAATACCGACAGATATCAATATTGGTTGCTTTTTATAAAAATGATAAAAATTTTAAATAAAACTTTAGTGAACACCAAACACTAGATTAAACGAGATATAAAAATTCTTCTGATATTTAACTAATATGTTGAAAATATCGTCAATTTAGTCAAAATTTTAAGAATTTCTCCACTGTAAAGTGAGGCTTAGATTTCACTCCCCCTTCCATATCCTTCTCTGATTTTTTTTCGATATTCCCCCATTTCTGCACTTGCATTTTGAAATCTAAAGATTCCTAATATCCAAACAAATGAGTACAAATTCTAATAATTCAATTTAAACAAGTAAATTTAAATTTAAATTAAACAAACAGAAAACAAACTTCAAATCTCCAAACTTAAATTAAACAAAACAGAGCATAATAACATGGATTAATTGAGGTAGAATGACTACTCAGTGGAGGAGGACTCTTCCGGAGAAGATGCAGAAGCAGAAGCAGCTTCGTCGGCACTAGAGAGCAAGGTCCACTCGGCAGGGAGAGGAGGGAGGGGAGCGTACACAGTGGGCTTGCGCTTAATGTCCCACGGCTGCGTTTTGCGCGGCCGAGTCTTCCGGTGGTGCGCAGTCGCCTTCTTCTGTGGCCTTGACGAGCACTCTATCACCAACCCACCACCACCGCCGCCGTTACCGGTGGTTGAGCCGCGCCATGGGGCCGAACTGGTCACACCAAACGAGGTCGTCGCAGATGGGTTCTTCACGGGCACACCCACCGCCACGAATTGAGACCCCAACACAGCTGAGACTGACATCTTCGCTTCGCTTGGGTTGCTCTTGCTTTGCTCCTCTGTTGGTTCGTTCGGAGATAACGTTGAGGATACCACATTTATCCTTATTTGTCTTGGACCTTGGTGTCGGCTTTTGGTGTTTAAATGGGCCTTTTGCTTTGGTCGTTGGGTCCAATTGAACAGTATGAGCAGCTACCTATCTAGCCCAACACATTACTTTTGTTTCCTTGAGCGTAACGATATCAATTTTGTTATCATTTACGAAAAAGTATAAACTTCAAATACAACATCGTAGATTAAATTCGAAGGATCCTCACACAAAAAAGATTCTAAGCGAAAAAAGTCAACTTGGCTAATCTAATGGACATCATGTTGTCACTTAGTACTACAGTCTATTTTCTCTTTATGTGTTAGTGAGAGGTCTAAAATTTGAACGGCAAATTTGAACCACACTTTTACTAACCCATTGTGAGGTACAAGTACACCCACAATCCTCACCCCTTAGTATAAATTATATCGTTTGTTTAAAAAAAAAAAAAACCACCATATCAATGGCCTTTTAGATTTCCATCAAATTCAAAAAAAAAAAAAAGGGCGCCACCAGAAGGTACTTAAATCAATGCATCACAGTTGAGCTATACTGAAGATTAATGAGGTCAGAGAACACTTGAAAAGTCTTACATTTAAGGATAGAGAAATCATAGCTGGTGTTTTCTGCAACCTCTATGTTTCAGTTGATGAACGTAGCCAAGATATGGTGGAGAATTTTGCGTGGGATTACCGTCAACAAGTATACAAGTAAGGTAATGTCGAATCTGGTGTCAAGCCTTAATTTGTTTGTGAAACACTTGATATAGAGAGTCATTTCCAAATCAATAGTTGATTGGATCATGGGGCCCGTTGTAGCAGCTCTACTGACAACACAAACGATTGTATGACACGACAGTTTTATAGCAGTTGGATTTTCAACAGCCAAATGATCCTAATTGTATAAAAAAATTAAAAAAAAATTACCATTGGTACATCGTGGCATTTTTGAGTGCGTTATTTTCATATTAGTAGAGAAATCAACGGCTAGGATTAATGTAACCGTAAAAAATAAAAATAAAAATAAGAAAATGTTAAAAATTGATTACTATTTTATAAATGCTTAATCATCTTCTTCATCTCCAATGTCACGAGAAATTTTTTATTGTGACGGAAACTCGTGTGGTACATAACGTGTTTTTATGTAAATGGTGAAATTTTTTATTTTTTAAGTTATTAACCTTTTAATACATATATCTCACTATTTATATAGTGACACATAATGTACCACATTATGTGTCGATCACATTAAAAAATCTTTGGTCACGTCACGACTCAATATTTATGAATCACAACTGGATGGTACACATGGCGTTCGAGGGATCCATCACTTGTGAACAAAGTTGGGTAGTTGGGAATTGGATTCCTCTTGAGCAAATAGTGGGGATCCTCATGATCATCCGACACGGACCATTAGATTTTGATCAAACGGTTACAAAAATAGGATCCCTCTAAAAATTATAATAATTGTAACCATTAGATTAAAATCTAACGGTCCGTATTGTGTGGTCATGAGGATCTTTACTATTTGCTCAGGAGCGGATTCAATTCCAGTTAGTTGGGCAAAAATAAATAAATAAAAGACCCACGTGTTTGCCCGTCTGTCATCGTGTGGCACAGGGGGAAGAAACAGCACACAGATTTGCTGGTCACACACTTCGCGTACAGAGCCGGAGATTCCATCCTCTCCTAATCCCATAGCTGGAGAGATTAAATACCCTTATTAATATTACAGAGTAGACAGCAAAGCTTAGCAGTGTGAGTTTGTAATTAAACAAGATATAAAATAATTGGTTATTTCGATGAAGCCAAATAAGATGAAATTATGATGGTCAGACCATCTTGGGTTAAATCACACGAAGTGCATCCTTAAGTTCTCGAATTAGTAAAAGAGTCATTCAATATTACAGTTTGATGGTATTTAATTTTATTTAGAAATGAAAAATTTTATGTTTAAATCAGATGATAAATTAGATATCAAATTAAGTTATCTATTACGTGATTTTACCGAACTTTTTCTTTTATTAATGTAAAAATATCGATTTATTAAAAAAAAATTACGGAAGAGACACAGAATAGGTTTATAGGCGGCAGTGAAAAGACAGGTGGCTTGGGTTAGACTCAGAGAGATGGGGCCCCACTAGAGGAGAGAGAAAAAGGGGAGAGAGAGAGGAGAGAGAATTGTTTCTATTCCTCCACAATCCTGAAAATGGCGTAAACTTCGTCCGAGCTGGCAGCGAGGGCAGGCTGTACCCAGCTGTCTCCCAACCCCAAATTAAAATAAAATAAAAATATACAATCTCACCAGTAACCCTCTTTGCACTTTCCAATTAAGAAACTCCAAATCCAAATCCAAACCCCAACCAGAAATCAATGGCGGCAGCAGCATTAGCATTTGCTACAAGACTCCACTGAGACAGAAAAGAGCATAACCATTTACTGTGATTCGATTTGATTTGATTTTGTAGCTTAAATGGATCCATGCCCATTTGTGCGGGTCACAGTGGGCAATCTGGCTCTCAAGATCCCCGTCGCCTCCAAGCCCGCCAGCTCCGTCGTCCACCCTTCCTCCTCCCCGTGCTTCTGCAAGATCAAGTTCAACAACCTCAACATCCCCCCTCAGAACGCCGTCGTCCCTTGCCTACATCCCGACACCCAAACCCTCGACAACCCCGCCACGGCCGCAACCTTCCACCTCAGCAAGTCCGATCTCGACCGCCTCGCCTCCAAGTCCATCTTCTCCTCCAGGCTCTGCCTCAAAATCTCCATCTACACCGGCCGCAGGGGCACCACCTGCGGCGTCAACTCCGGGAGGCTGTTGGGCCGGGTTTCGGTTCCCTTGGATCTGGCGGGAACCGAGTCCAAGCCCAGCGTTTTCCATAACGGGTGGGTCTCCGTGGGAAAAGGGGCCAACAAGGGCGGGTCGTCGGCTCAGTCCCAGTTCCATTTGAATGTGAAGGCCGAACCCGACCCGAGATTCGTGTTCCAGTTCGACGGCGAACCCGAGTGTAGCCCGCAAGTGTTTCAGATCCAAGGCAACCTCCAGCAGCCAGTCTTCACCTGCACGTTCAGTTTCAGAACACCCGCCGACCGCACTCAGAGATCCAGGTACAATTCCCTCTTTCCAATTTGGGTTTCAGTTTGAATTTTTTGTTTGCCTTACGACGACGTTTTGTTCAATGCTCGTCTGAATTGAATCGATCCCGTTAATTCTCTTTACGTAGATGCCAATGGTTCAAATCTCAGTTTAATTTTGTATTCCCATTTTGCCCTTTGTTTTCAGGTCGTTACAGTCGGACCAAGGCAGCTCTCGGAGCTGGCTAAGCTCGTTCGGGAGCGAGCGAGAGCGACACGGAAGGGAACGAAAGGGCTGGTCGATTACGGTCCACGACCTCTCCGGGTCGCCTGTGGCTGCAGCCTCGATGGTCACGCCCTTCGTGGCCTCGCCCGGGTCGGACCGCGTCAGCCGGTCCAACCCAGGCTCCTGGCTCATTCTCCGGCCCGGCGACAACACCTGGAAGCCCTGGGGACGCTTGGAGGCCTGGCGCGAACGAGGTGGCGCCGACGGCCTCGGTTACCGCTTTGAACTCATTCCCGACACCAGCGGCGCCGGCGTCGTGTTGGCGGAGTCCACTCTCAGCTTAAACAAGGGCGGGAAATTCGTCCTGGATCTCGGGTCAGGGTCCAGTAACCGAGCCGGCCCAAATTCTCCGGGTTGTAGCCCGAGGGGAAGCGGGGACTTCGGCTACGGGTTGTGGCCTTTCTGCATGTACAGAGGGTTTGTGATGTCGGCGAAGGTGGAAGGGGAGGGGAGATGCAGCAAACCTGCGGTGGAGGTGAGCGTGCAGCACGTGAACTGCACGGAGGACGCAGCGGCTTTCGTGGCATTGGCCGCAGCCGTTGATCTGAGCATGGATGCCTGCAGGCTTTTCTCGCAGCGGCTGAGGAAGGAGCTGTGTCAGCAGTCGGATCTGGTCGGCTGACTGGGATGAACAACGTTGTCGTTTTATGGGGGTTTGGTCCTTTTTTGTACTAACGAACAGACTGATGAGGGATAATGTGTAGGTGTGTATAGTGAGAGGAGAGAGAGAGAGAGGGCACACTTTGTTTTTAATCGTGTGGCTATTGTTTAATTTTCCCTTTTAGTTTTTAAATGAAGGGTTTGATTTAGTTGCAATTTTTTTTATTATTTGATGAATGACATTGGAGTCCCTGACTTAAAAAAAAAAAAAAAAAGGTAAATTACATTTTACATTCTCATGCAATTATTATATTTTTAAAATATTTTAATTTTATATCTTTACTATTATTTGATTTCAATTCCGTACAATCGTCTTAATTTTTGTTATATTTTCAATTATCTGCTTATGTAAATCTCACGAGCCCATATATACATGTGTGATATGTGGATTAAAAAATAATAAAATGATTTTTAATTAAAGAAGGGCTCTCTCCTTCTCCAACCCATCCTTTCCTTTTTCTCTTCTTCTTTTGGCCTCCGCCCACCCCTCACTCTCATCTTCGCCTCACCCGAAACTGCCTACAAAACGACATCTAAATATGAAGAGGTAAAATGTAATTTACCTTAAAAAAAATGTTTGATGTTAGTTTTGGTTTTGGATTAGTGAAATAGTTTAAATGTGGATTAGCTGTGATCCAATTGTTGGCACAGCTAAGCATATTAATTAGTTTAATATTAGCTGCTTTTCCGTGTTTGTAATCTAGTATAAAGTAGTGATTAAATGATTAAGTTTTATGTATACGCAATCATGTATGTTTGAAGATTTGAGTAAGGGAAGGGCGTGCACGCTATGTACTTATTCTGTTTTTGTTTTTTTTTCTTTTTAACGAAATAAATAAAACTGAATAATTTGTTTTGATGTAATAATACAGGGTAAATTGTAATTTGACTATCTGAATTATTACTTCAGTTAAAATTAATTTCTTAAACTATTTTTTTTGGTAAATTAACCTTTTGAATTGTTTGAAATCAGCTAATTGACTTTTTACAGTTAAATTTTATCTATTATTCCATCAAATTCAAAAGTACATTAATATTTTTATCATTACTATTACTTGTCAATTATAAACATCAAAATAATTATGACATTATTTTCATCATCAGTATTAATTGTCAGCTATAAATTATAATCACCAAAATAATTATGACATTATTTTCATCATCAGTATTAATTGTCAGCTATAAATTATAATCACCAAAATAATTATGACATGGACTCAAAATAATTAAAAAACGCGAATGTGAAATATTTTCTAAACTTTGGTGAAGGCTATGCGCTCAGTACTGTCCGGTGAAGTGGAAGTTAATTAATTAAATAAAAGCAGAGGAATTATTAATTAATGTGGATGATAGCTGTAATGCGCTTTTGATGGAGGGATTATCATATCTTATTGGCTTGCTCGTGTTTGGCTTTGTTTGGTTGGGAGGATTGGTTTTATACAACAATTATATCATAATTTGGTTGTGATTTGTTATGACTTTTGGAACTGTCAGTGTCAGGCTGTCAGCCACCATTATTCCTTATTTAAATTATGGCTCAAAAAAGATATTAAAAGATAAATATCAAATGTTAATTTGATGGTTAACGTGGTAATGTTAGATTTTCTTTACTTCCAATCAATATGTTTTTTTGTTATAAATGATACTTGTATGATCCATTTTAAAAAGATATCAATTAAAATAAAATTTAAAGATCTATAATTAACGCATTAATTGGAGTCACACAATAATATAATTAAAAATAATTTGACATCATCTTTTCTCATATGTCAAACTGACATACGAAAACTCATATGTCAATCCACTTTGACATCATCTTTTCTCATATGTCAAACTGACATACGAAAACTCATATGTCAATCCACATAGAATTGACATATCGGTTAGAGCTTGCTCTTACCTTCAAATTTGATTACATGACATTCCACTTATGATTTGACATCTCATTTAGAGATGGTCTAAACTACATTCCTAGGGTTTAGCTAACTTCTAGAATTATGATATGAATACAGTGAGTAGGTATCTATTTCGAAAATTCATAAGATTAATAGTCAGATGATGGCCCAGGCCGTTTCTCTTGTAATGTCTGCGTTAGTGGTGGAGTTAGAATTTTAGATTAGGAAGGGCCTTTGACAAATGTTAAAAAAGCAAAAAAAAAAAAGCGCAACAATATATACCGCCAATAATGCAACAACGTTACAACCGCTCATGAATCCCTCTCTCACACTCGCAAATTCATTTCTCTACCGTCGTCTAGTCATTGTCTCATTCATCATCTAGTCATTGTCTGAGTCACTACTTTGATACTTTAGATTTTTGGTCTGATTCTGATGTTTATTTGCTCGCTGACGACAATGTTGATTTTTCAATTCCACTCCATTTCATCAGTACATTATGGCCAGTTGGGAGTTTTTTTTTTCTTTTCTGAGTACAATGATATATTTTATACTAAGGGAGGGGGAGTTCGGCTATGCCACATAATGAGCAACCTAATTTGGTATAGAATTCTCCATCCATGAGATTCAAACCTAAGACCTCTCACTTACAAGTGAAGAAGAATACTATCAGACCGTAGTACTGAGTGGCTTGGCCAGTTGAGAGTTGATTGGCAAATAAAACAACCTAATAGAAAGGGCTAACAAGAACATAAAAATTGCACATGGATGTCAGTAGAATTCAAGCTTGTCAACAACCACCAGAACCATGTGAAAACAATTAAACTCTAGGAGAAAAAGCTCTCCGTGAAAAAAATGTCAGGGTAGGTCGAGGATCATTCTTGTCCCTTTATGGCTCTGCCTCGCGAGACATTATTTTATCAAACAAAGGTCATGATTCTACCTGCTTATTCTATTTACCATCGCTTAAAGCTCTCCGTGAAAATAATGTCAAGGTAGGTCAAAGACCATTCTTGTTCCTTTATGGCTCCGCCTCGCGAGACATTATTTTATCTCGGAGTCACGTTCACCACTGCAGTCCGCTGCATCAATCAGTCTTGTTTGTTGGAGTGGGGTGGAAGTCGCGAGAGAGAGCAGCCATAGAGGGAGCTGTCAAAAGCTTTTTTGTTGGAAAAAAGGAATAAATGTAGGGTGGGGAGAACTCACTACTACAGTGTCTTGTATGTTCAATTTTATTTATTGAATTTATTGCTCTCTGTTAGTTAAATTTTCAATAGTCTAACCTGCTTGGTAGTAAGCAAATATATTATATTCGACTCAAATTTGATCGTTCATTTTTCGTACTATTGAGTAATTTGGGCTATTAAAAGAGAAAAAAATTCATAGGAACTGAAGCATAACCAATTCAAAAAAGATTTTACAATTTACATGAGTAAAAATTGGTACGCGACAAAAAATGAGACTAATTGTTGCTAAAAATCTGCGCCATGCGATTGAAAATTTAATAAAAATCACCTTTTTAAAATTCAAAATAAGAAGAAAAAAACTTTAACAGAAGTTTTTTGGTACGCGTGACCCACATCACAACAATAATGAGTCCTCCTAACCATGTCACACAAACAGTTTTAATGGAATTTGTTGATACGAGACAAAGTGAGACACGAGTTGGATTTTAGCAAATCAAGTGACACAATATAACACACACAAAAGAGCAATTGGTCTGCGGGTGGACGACTTTGCAATTATGCATCTTGACGAGTACAAGTAATTATTCACTGGTATAAAACCTTATATGGTTCAAATTTATTGTTCATTCAACAAAATCTGTACACTTTATTGGGACCAAATTCAAAAAATCTGTCCAGTTAAATACTTAAATTGGTGATGTTCCATGAATGTGCCTCTTTAATTTTATAGACCAATACAATCTCTCGAACATTTGCTTGAAAACTGCACTATTTCTTGTGGCCTTCTCTCACGGACCTGGGGATAGGGTACTCTTTCACCGGCTCCATCTCTGGGATTGTGTTTTCTAAATTTGGATCCTCTCTGAAAATTAGTGTACGGATTCTAAGGACCAGAAAATTTGAACCCTTGGTATGGAAGTCACATATTTTAATAAAAGAGAGATAAGCGCATTGGAGAAAAAAAGTGTAAAAATCAATTTTCCCAATCACAGTGTTACTATTATCACATTTTCTTATTCCTACTAGTTGGCCTCTAAGTATGGAAGTCACATATTTACCAATGCTTATAACCATAACTAGTTTTCAAATCTAAATATAAATTGTGAAAATTAATTGATTCTTAATTCAGTTCAATCTTGCAGTCATTTGATCACTTTAAGGATAGCTTAAAATTGACACATTCAGAAGCATGTCGAATTTACGATCAGTAGATAATCTAGTTGAACAAAATTTCAAAACAAGGAGACTGAAATTTGGGGAAGGGATCCTGAGAGAATCCCTTCCACCAAATCCTGTCAATCAACAAATCCGGGTCTTTGAAATTTGATCCAACGGCTAAAGTTATTATAACTTTTAAAGGGGTCCCTTGTTTTTAGCCGTTAGGATCAAATTTCAAGAATCTGAATTGGTTGATTGCCAGGATTTGATGATAGGGATTCGGAAGAAGATCCCTTTCCGAGATTTGGGGCCTCTTCCGACACTAAAAGGAGAATTATCACCAGTTGAATAGTTAACTAATCAATCTAGTTATTTTTATACTTAAAATAGTAAATTATGAAAAATCACTTACCCACTTTTGGAAAATAATACTTTTTGTCCATAATTCTTAATTCATCACACTAGCAAGTGACAACTCAAGTTGTTTGTTATATTCTCTTTCTAATCAGATTGGATTGAAAGTCCCTGGTTTTTGTTTGTTGTCATTACCTTTTCTTAAATAAAAAAAAAAAAAAACTAGTTAATGGTTTTGCTACAACAGTCAATCTTTTTAGAGATAGAAAAGACTCATAGAGACTATTTAGAATATCAAACAAACGATATTATCTAATATTCTAGATAGCACAAATTAATTCTTCAAATCCAGCAAAATATCTATTCACAATACAACGGGTGTAGCTTTAATACAAGAGAACTTTAACGAAAAGCTTCCGGTACTGTTCATTTTAATGAAAAATCACATTTTAACACTAAAATGTCAATTTTGATATTATTCACTTTACCCTTTATTTTGTCATTATCTTTAAAACTTAAAGTTTTTAAACCATTTCCATTAGTTTTTCTTTAATACAATATG